TCTCAAGTGATAATCAACCTTAACCCTGCCTGGCTGCAGATAAGCATCGACGACTGCCCGAAAACTGATACCCCTCTGAGGTGGTGGGGACCACCAAACCACTGCCCTTAAGGTACCTGTGACGACAATCAAAGCAGACTACCACTCACCCACACCAGACAGAAACTCTGTACCTCTGAGGTGGTGGGGACCACCAAACCACTGCCCTGAAGGTACCTGTGACGACAATCAAAGCAGTCGTAGATTCTCAACCCCAACCGGGGTTAAGGTGGATTATGGGCCTCGCTGCACTTACTCTCGACATGCACAAAAGACAAAAATCATGGCGGTGTATCTTTCCATAATCTAGCGGAAGATTCACTCTCGTTTTGCACATTTCGAGAGTAGTGCAGCGACTTCGAGTATCGTCCGTTAGGGGACTGCAGACTGCAGAGGGCTCGACCTTCATATAAAAAGTCGGTACAACTCCCCCTTCAAGGAAACAATAACAATATGTCACAGCCCCCCTCCCCCCCCCCTTCTTGTTCTTTTCTCCCTTTCTGCCCACGGCTCACGGGGTGGTTCTTGATGACAATATACTTTATATAAATAGATATTGTAGGGGGAAAGGTAAGATGAGGAGTATGTATGCGGAACAACCTACACGTTCTCGGCCAAATTTCGAAGCTTCACCACCAACGACGAAGACAGGAAGAACATCGCCATCGCCAAAAAGCTTTGGAAGCTTCACAACCGTTCTAACGCGAGAAGAAGAAGACAGAGGAATGGAAGGGAGAAGAAGAAGACAGAGGAAGGGAAGGGAGAAGAAGAAGACAGAGGAAGGGAAGGGAGAAGAAGAAGACAGAAGAAAAGAGAACGGCAGGCAATGAACAAGGCCCATTCCCAGCCACAATGAAGTGAGACTCTTTCCTGAACAATTAAAATGGACCTCAATTACGGGCCAATATGGATGCATCAAACTGCAATGACGTCCAGAAACCAGTCGGCAAAGGTCCTTGTGTGGTAAACCCTAACAAGCGAAGCAAAGGAATTGGGCCGATGATGATCCTTATCCGAGGGAGACGGCCTCGCCACACTACTACTCACTGACCATAGAAAAAACGGCGACTGCACCTCCAGACGGACAAAGGAAGAAGCGGCGAGGCGCAAACAGAGCGATTCAGGGATAAGAGATGAGAAGCGAAAGGAAAGAAGAGAAATACAGTATGAAATCAGGCAGAAAAAAAAAAAAAAAAAAAA